AAAAAAAAAAAAAAAAAAAACCTCTGGACTAGATGGCTTTCCAGCAGAATTCTACAAAACTTCAAAGGGGGAGTTGATACCAATCCTTCTGAAAGTCTTCCAGACAATCAAGAAAGATGGAATTTTCCCCAGATCACTTTATGAAGCTAACATCACATTAATACCCAAACCGGGTAAAGATAAAACAAAGAAAGAGAATTACAGGCCAATATCTTGATGAATGTAGATGCTAAAATTCTCAACAAGATTCTAGCAAACTGAATCCAACAACACATCTCAAAAATCATCCACCATGACCAAGCAAGCTTCACCCCTGGGAGGCAGGGCTGGTTCAACATTCACACGACCATAAGCGTAATTAAATATACCAACAGATATAAAGACAAAAACCACATCATTATATCCTTAGATGCATAAAAAACTTTTGATAAATCCAGCACCCCTTTTGATAAAAATTCTCGAACATCTAGGCATAGATGAAACATACCTCAAAACAGTAAGATCCATCTACGAGAAACCCACAGCCAACAGACAGAAATTGGAACCATTTTCCCCCTAAAAACTGGAACAAGACAAGTATGCCACTCTCACCCTCCTGTTCAACATAGTATTGGAAGTTCTAGCTAGAGCAATCAGACGAAAGAAGGAAATAGGGGTATCAAAATAAGAAAAGAGAAAGTGAAATTATCCCTCTTTGTAGACGACATGATTCTACACCTTGAAAACACAAGAGAATCTGTCAAAATTTATCTTCTCGCACTGATAAAGGACTTTGGCAAAGTCCCAGGGTTTAAAATAAATGTGCAAAAGTCAGTCGCATCCCTATACCCCAACCATAAACAAACAGAAACCTAAATAAAAAGCACAATCCCATTCAGAAAAAAAAAGAAAAGAGAAAGAAAGAACTATCTTGGCATCATCCTAACCAGAGAAGTAAAAGACCTTTACAACGAAAACTACAAAACAATGCTCAAAGAAATCAAAGATGACACAAACAAATGGAAAAATATCCCATGCTCACGGATTAGAAGAATCAACATTGTTAAGATGGCCACCCTACCCAAGGCAATCATTAGTTTTAAGCAATATCCATTAAATTACCAGCAGCATTCTTCTTAGACTTGGAAATGACAATACAGGAATTCATATGGAAACATAAACGACCATGAATAGCCAAAACAATTCTCAACAAAAAAAAAAACAAGGTGGGAGGTATCACGCTCCCAAACTTTAAGCTTTACTATAAGGCTACAATAATCAAAACAGCCTGGTATTGGTATAAGAACAGGCATATAGACCAGTGGAACAGAAGAGAGATTCCAGAAGCAAAATCTCAATTTCTCAACCAACTCATCTTCAACAAAGCCTCCACCATCAACCACTAGGGAGAGGAGAGCCTACTCAGTAATTTGTGCTGGGAAAACTGGCTGCCTACATGCAGAACATTAAAACAAGACCCCTACCTATCACCATACACAAAAATCAACTATAAATGGATCAAAGAACTAACCGTAAATCCTCAAACTATAAGAACC